AATGAAAGTAAAGTCTCTTTTGGGTTGCCCTCACTAACTAGAAATAGCTAGAAATGACTTTAGGATAGAGACAAAATGTTTGCTAGTTTATTACATGGTTAATAAGTGAATTAGAAATGATCGGAATTAATTAATTATTGATTAGAATTAATTCGGGACTAACTGGAATTAATTAAAAGTGCAAGGGTTGAATTGTCATTGTTCATAATTGAGAAAATTGCAATTCGAGATGCTTCCTAGAAAGCGACAGTTTTAAGGAGTTCTAATTTGGAAGCCTCCTGATAGCTGATAAAGATATATGCCTTGAATAGATTAAATTTGAATATTTAATTATTCAAATTAGGGTTTATCCCGACGATCCACCAGTTATAAATAACACCCATCGCCTACCAAATTTTGACTCTAAGCCTTTTAAAATGAGATATCCTAATTTTTCATCATCCCTTCTCTCTCCCTTCTTGATTTCTAGTGTTTTAGATATGTTGCGTGTGAGCCATTAGAGACATTCACACTATTGGATGTTTGCTTTCCATGGAGCTTTTGAAGAGTCAAGAGTTAGTATAATCGTTTATACTAAAAGGTATGTTACTAATCTGATTTATTATTGTAGATAGATAGATTAGATCGATTTTCATAATATGTTGCTAAAATGAGAAAATGTTATAGATCTCTAGGTTACATGTACCCATAAATTGTTTTGTGAATTCTCCTATGTTGTTTTGTCTTTTATTGTAACTTAGGAAACCCATCAATATGTTTGATAGAACATTGACCTATTGGAAAGTCTTAGTTGTGCTTCAGTAGTTCATGGTTGAGCTTTCTTTAACGGGCCCTATTTGTTTATGCGAACGGTTTCGTATGAGCTTGCTAGCAGTGATGGATTACTGGATTAGGAGATTTCGCACTGTAAGATTCTCTATATTTCCCCTGGATGATCTATCTAATGGTTTCATGCCTAAGCCGATTTGGGGAATCAATTGCAACGCGAGGGTATGATTTGTTCTTTGGCATACTCATAGGAGTAATGAGATAGTGATGATTTGTCAGGAATTCAGTTGTGCAGTGGAAGCCCTTTTAGGCATGGTCATTCATATTAAAGGTTTTCCAAGTGGTTATGGTTGGTATGTTTTTAGCACTTATTTCTTCGTGGCTGGCGATGTTCCTAGTCAAACAGACTAAGATATACATATCCTAAGATAATCATTAGTATTAATGTATGATTTCAGGCATAAGGGTTTTTGGTCCTATGAAGTTTTCTTAAGTCTAATTCGTGTTTGTGGTGTGGGATTTTCTGGTTTTGAGCAGTTTTGATAAGGAGTTGATTGCATTTGAAATAGGCCGCATTAACTCGGTTTCTAGTGGTCTCAAGAATGCTTGTTATGGATACATCAAATTAGTAAGCGGTTTGGAGAAGTCACAAAGTATCTACGTAAGGTTTCTCTTCTGCAATCTAGTCAGGGCGGAAGGACGTGGCACGTCCAACCCATTGGACTGAACACATTTTTAGGGTTTTGAAGAGTAATTAAGGGACATTAACCTTTAGGGTTTTGTCATTCTCAGCCTCCATCAACCCCTAACCCATCCTTAAGAAACCCTAGCCTCCTTTTGAAGGTTTTAAGCTTATCCTCTCCTTTCTCTACCATTTTTGGTGTGTTTTGGAGTGAAGTATTGTTTCAAAATTGATCATTGAAGATTTTCAACTGAAGTAATCAATCGCATCCACCTTTTGGACATTGGTATGTCTTAAAGATTCAAGCTTTATTAGTTTCATCTTTTGATTTTTAAGTATTTGGAGTTTTAGTTCTTTAAATGTTGCTTTATTCCCTTTGATGGTTTGATGTATGGAGTTTTGAAAACTCTATGATCCACATGCAATAATCTACTTCATATCTGAAGTTTAAATGGAGTAGAGAGTGCATGCTAGAGCTCTCTTTACTCCATGCTTGAAGAAAAATGGGATCTTAGACTTTTTGGAATCTAGGGTTTTAGATCTAGTTGGTTTGGGGTGTTCTAATGAATAAAGTTGGAAACTTTATCCATTAAGATACCATTTGAATTGAAATTTGAGAGTTTGAAAGCTTGCACTTAAGTGATTAAGTCAAAAATGGAGTGTTAGATTAGGAAAGGCGCCCCCTAAGTCGCGTGGGGGGATTTTTGAGTTTTCTGATGCCACATCTGTTTAAAGTTAAATCTCAACTATTTTATCTTGTAGTGGGTGTAGGGCGCCTAGTAGAGGGCGTGACGCACCCGTTGACTAGTAGGTTGACATTTTGACTTTTGGCTAAGTTTGACCTTGGGTCAAACTTTAGGGTTTTGCGTCATAGTTGAGGTTTGACCTATATTTTATGCGTAAGTGGTTCGTGAGACTAAGCTTAGTGATTATTCTAGCGTAACTGGGATTTCCAGATTATGTTAAAGTGAGTTTCCTCACTATACTATATATTGCAGTATGTATATGTGTGTGTTAGGATGTGGTTATGTTGTAGTGTGTTGTTAGGTCAGTAGACTAGTTAGTTAGTTTCCTATGGTACTGAGTTGTCTGTTATTCTTTAATGTTATATATGGTGACATATCTTGTGGTGAGTTGAGGCGGTGCAACTTTGTGCTGAGGACGATGATACTTACGCAGACCAACTTAATGCTGAAGGCCATGAGCGAACCAACTTTATGGTAAAGGTAGTTGAGGCGGACCAGTTTTGGATTATCGTATTTTGTGGAACTTACTTAGCTTTGTGCTTAAAGTTGCGGATTAACTGTTTTCAAGTACTTCTTTGGATCATGGGAAGGAGAATGCATGACTATACACACACATAAGCAAATTTTGTGTTTGAAATTCCACGATGGTTTTAAACTCTAATCTTGGATTTGATTCATAGTATTATCTTGATTACGAATTTATGAAAATGGGTATTACTCTTATATTAAAAATGAAAAACTTATTATGAAATTGAGATTTTACATTCATCCTCTACCAACCCTTCTTTATTTTTGTGTCATCCTCCATCCTATTTCAAGACATCTCTTCGTTCCGTAGTTATAGTTCGGTCAGTGATGGTTGATTGTACACCAATAAACCCTTTATTTTTGTGTCATCCTCCATCCTATTTCAAGACATCTCTTCGTTCCGTAGTTATAGTTCGGTCAGTGATGGTTGATTGTACACCAATAAACCATTTATTTGATTATATTTGTGCTTTTTTCATAATTCAAAATCATATAATTAATCCGAAGAAGAGGCCAAATAAATTTTTGGTGGTGGAGTCGGAGTAGGGTGAGGCGTAAATCCAATTTTAATTTCATCAGAGTCAATAATGAATAAAATTAGGTTTTTTTAGGTTTGATTTTTGTTAAATTTTATTTTATTTAAAGTATTTGCTTTTGGTCTCATTTAATTTGGTTTGGTTTCTGGTGGTGATGTCGCGGAGAATGATGGTGATCGCCTGAGATGAAAGGGATGGGAATCATCAGATCTGTCAACAGTGATGAGTTAGAAGGAAGGACAAGGGGTAAAGATGGGGGAGATGATAGTAGATAAAAGAGGATATCAGAAGTTTTAGGTCCGAATGTGGTAGTGGTGGTGGATGAGGATACTAGAATTTCATGTATACTGGTGTTGTTTCTTAAAGCTGATACGAGAGACAGATAAAGAAAGAGATGACAACTAAGAAGGGGGTGAGGAGACCAATGAATGTTATGGGAGAGATGAAAGTGTAGGTGGGTGGTGGGTCATTTTTAATTTGTCAACGACGCAACAAATCAAACCATAGATACAGTCTGAGTGAAAAAAAGTTAACGACCAAACGTTCAAATCACCTCAAATCATATGGACTATTCAACTAATTTACTCTATTCTTTATAAAGTTTGCTCTTTTTTATATTTTTGCGTTAACGATTACAATTCAAGAATTTACAAGTCTACTAGTAAATTAAAAGCTTCCTCGTCACCTTTCTTGCTTGCTAGCTATGAACTATTCTTTTTCTTGTTAATCATAAAATCTATTCATATGCAATGTTCTAAAAAGCTCGCGTCATGGCGTGCCATGACTCCAAGTCTTGTACTTGCAGCCGACATGCCACCTTAAATCACATATGTATGTATAAAAATGAATAATAGTA